TGTTATTTCTTGGCTTGGTCTGTGCGTTTTGCTCTGAAAGTTCGGACGCGTCGCGTTTGGGGTACTAGACTCCTTGTATCTCCACAACCACGCGGCTGCACGGCTTGGGAGTAGTCGGAATCTATTTCTTTCGATGGATATAGTTGGTTTTTGATGGAGTTTCACGTGTTCGGAAAAACTCGAAGTTGGTGTGTACGTGGTGATTATGAGCAGGTGCCTTGTCCTCAGACTTGTCAACAATCAAGCGGCTTGCAAGCGCTTGATTGATAGCTTGATAACTATCAATCCCATCAAGTCAAGCTCGCCTATACTAATTTGTTAGCAATCCAAGCTGAGGAGGGTCAGCTTGATTGTTCGGCTTGATGGGCTTGATTGTCGCGTGAGGCTGCTCGTTCTGCAGCAAGAGCGATCTCACGATAGGTTTTTGGTGTTGTAGTAGTCGCAGTACTAGTACGTAATTAGCCTAACTTCTGCAACACTATACTCCCTCTACCAGCCACCTAAACAACCTGTCGGTATACACATATCCTATCGCTTGGGGCTGCCTGATGTGCCGTCGCGATGCCGTCTCACTCCCGCCTCGATCCTACTTCGGTCCGACTCGCACCGAGCCCATGTATACCTTCGTAGCACCCACGTTTATAGAGACATCATACCAATAGCAATACAAGACATTCGTTACTGTTATCACCCCGTACGATCGTACAAAGGCCTACCAACACAACCCGTCATTTTTTTGGCTCCCGTCGCCCTTATCGTATTGCCACCGCCATGCCTCCTACGAAACGCGCCTCTAATGACCTTACTCGCCCAAAGAAACGCGTTAAATCCTCCACCGCGTGCGGCACTGTCAGCCAGCCTATACCAGTCAATAGTCGGCTATCGTCATCGCCGTCGCGTCCGTCGCCTCGCAGAGCTCTCGTAGAGACGTCCCAGGCTTCAACTTTTGAGTCGCAACTACGCGAGTCGCGGCCTGAAGACGCTATCGTCGCGCCTACCGAGGGCAGCGAGAGGGTAACCCCAGCTTTCAGGCGCTCTGGGCGCAGTACAACACCTCACCTCGCGCGGTAAGGCCGTCGGCAGTGATCCTAAGCGATATAGACGACGCGATCGATAGTATACTCAACCCTAGTACTGCCAGCAGCCTCACCGCCGACGACGACGAGTTTCAGAGGTGGAAGCGCAGCGAGCCAGCAGCCGAGAGAGGTACAGAACACGGAGATAACCCTATCAAATACTGGGTGAGCATGCGCGATTGCTACCCTAGCCTCAGTAAGCTTGTGCTTGACGTACTCTCTATCCTAGCGTCAAGCTGTGAGTGTGAGCGCCTGTTTAGTGAGCTGGGCGACCTCTTAGAGCCGCGACGACGACGTCTAGGACCTCAACTTCTAGCGGCAATACAGTGCGTACGACGGTGGCAAGGAGCTGGTCTTGGAGCCGACGACGAGGTAGTAGAGGTGGAGGCAGCAGACGACGACAATATGGAGCTTTTGTGCGGGCTGGCGACTTGGGACTACGAAACTCAACACTAAGGCTAGCGCTAGTACAGACTATCAAGCTAATCAATCAAGCCTCAATCCAAGCTGACGCCCTCAAAAAACGAGCAATCCAATCTGACGCCTCAGCTTGGATTGACTTGATTGTTGACAAGTATGCTTATCCTCTTGGACGACTATTCCAGAACGCTCAGCCTTATACTGCCTCGCAAAAGGTATAAGCTTCGGCAGTAGAATAACCATCTGATATCGATACCAATCAATGCCTAAGCCTCTACCTCGGCTGAGCTTCCCAGTTTTCGCGGTCGATTTCCATTGAGGCTTCTGTCCAGGCTTGTTACGTAGGTCAAGCCGACGCATACCTACTTCAAGCTCCCATTGAGCTTTCATAATTGGCTCGAGGTCTCGATTAAGATCACCAATCCGAGCAGAAGCAGCCTCCTTCTCTTTCTTTGTCTCTGGCGACCAGCAGTGACATGGACCTTTCTGATCATACGAGAAGCAGCCCCAGAACATCACACTCCGCAACAAACAAGCAAGTATCAAGTACTTGCAAGCATTGCTTAAAAACTACCAAGTCAAGTATAGAGTCGATTTTCTACCAAGCAAGCAAGCATGAAATTCGTGATACTTGCAAGTACTTGATACTTGCTTGGTATTGTATACGGGCGGCGTTTTGTGAGCAGTTTAGTAGTTGAGGTCGCCGATTTTAGAGTTTTGGAGTTCCAACCCAGCCATCTGAAGTCGCTCAAAACGACGCTAGCAGCGCTCAACCTTAACACCACCCTTATTCTACAGACTAGCAAAGTATCACGACGCCAGCCACCATGCCCCCCAGAGCTACCAAGAAGCGCACACGCGCGACAGATGTCCCTACTGCCTCTACGAAGCGATTGAGAATCTTAGCGGCGCCGCCACCAACCCCAGAGCCCTCACAATCATGGGAGAGGCAGCAGCTCGAGTCACAGCCTCAAGAAACCATCAACGCGCCCACTGAGGGCAGCCACGCTGGCACCCGATCAGTAGCAACAACAGAGGTAGCTGAAGACAGCTATATTGAGAACGGCGGCGATGATTTTGATGGCCTTGATTGGGATCGCCTTGGGAAGCGATACATCAAGCCCTTAAGCCAGCCCCGTCGAGCTAAGAGTTGGATCTATCAATATGGATACCGCGTTGTGCACCGAGATACGCCTACACGCCAATTTTGGGTGTGTAAATACTGTCATATACACAAGCTGCCATCTGGGATCATTGACGTCTCTCAAGCAACCTCCTCTGCCGCCGCCCACCTCGGCTAGCCCGCCAAATGCCATAACCTTAACCGTATGGGCGTCAAAGCTACACCATCAAAGCGCTCATCTGGGCAGCTATCTCTGCGCGAGGTATTGGCTGGCGGCTTCGAGGTGCCGCAAGCTACAGCTAACGCGATGGGCAACTTTGATATACAGCGCTTTCGATACGCTGTAGTGCTATGGCTCCTTGACAATAACCTGCTCATGGAGTTGATCAGCCGAGCGTCAACGCGCGATCTCTTTCGTATAGCTAACGGCGAGGCAGAGAGCGCATTATGGCGATCGCCGCGCAGTGTTGCTACGTACGCGATGCGACTTTTCCACCTTATGCAGCCGCAGATAGTTCACGCGCTGTCGAGCGCTATCAGCAAAATACATATAATTTTCGACGGCTGGACAACAAAGGGCGGCACCCGCGGGTTTTTTGGGATCGTTGCCCACTTTGCTACATCTTCTAGCAAGATTAACGACTTGCCCATCGCACTGCCGCCGCTCACGGGCGCCCATACCGGTGAGGCGATCGCTACAGCTGTTACCGCAACGCTGCGGGCATATGGGATCACATCAGATACGCTAGGCTATTTTGTGCTTGATAACGCCAGCAACAACGACACCGCGATCGCAGCTGTAGCGCGCGAGTTTGGCAACTTTGAGGCGACGGAGCGACGCCTCCGCTGCGGCCCTCACACGATCAATCTCATCGGACAAGCGCTCCTTTTCGGCAAGGATAAGGATGCTTACAACAACGCCACCGAGCAGGTGCTAGAGGAGGAGATGTTCATGCAGCAATGGCGTAAAAATGGCGCCCTCGGCACGCTCCTCGCAGTCATCACATATATCAAAACCCCACAACAATACCAGCTCTTCGCCGACTGCCTGCTTGCCTCCAACAACGACCTCCCCGCCGCCGCTCGCGTTAAGATGCTGCGGCCGATCAAACCTGTTGTTACGCGCTGGAACTCATACTACAACGCCCTTGAGCGCGCAACTTACCTTAAAGGCGGCTTTGATCTATATATTGAAAAATATATAAGCCGCATCGCTTATGAGGATAGGCGTGGCACCCGGAACGACGTGCCGGCATGGATGAGATCAGGTGGACTAGAAGCTGCCGACTGGGCGGTAATTACTGAGTATCAACGCTGCCTTCAACCGCTTAAAATGAGCACTGGACGATTAGAGGGGCGTGGCAAATACTATGGTAGCAACTTCGGCGCTATCCACGAGGTTATACCCGTGTTTGAGTACTTACTCGATCAGTTAGAGAAACTATCTGAGCCGTATAAGGACGTAGTTTTTGACGCACATGCTGAGGCGCCTGAGGGCAAGTTGTACACCTATTTATGCGTACTTCTCGCTAACCTTTGTGCGTAGATCACCTTCACATTAACCTCCGCAACGCTTGGCGTAAAACTGACGAGTACTACCACAAGCTTGACGACTCGGCCGTCTACTACACTGCAACCTGCCTCCACCCATACTATAAATACTACTGCGAGAATTCATGGGAGCACAAACCGAGTTGGTTACGTAAGGCAAACGAGGGCTTTCAAAAGCTATGGGAGTCTTATAAACTGGCGCCGCCGAGGAGTCCTCCACGCCAGCCACCTCGTTCAGGCGCTATCGACGACGTGATTGGGGCACTCACCTCACGCCGCAACTGCGCGAGGAGCGACAGCCGCGATGAGTACGATCGCTGGCGTGAGCTGGAGCCGGAGTGGAGTATGGAGACCTATCACGGCGATGGCAACGCCGTCCAGTACTGGATCGCGATGAAGCCAAAATACCCCCAATTGAGCGAGTTTGCCATCGATATACTGACAATCCCAGCATCTAGCTGCGAGTGCGAGCGCCTGTTCAGCGAGCTTGGCGATCTATTAGAGCCAAAACGCCGCGCTATCGGTAGTGAGCTGCTCGCTGCCTTTCAGCTTATACGCGCGTGGACGCGAGCCGGATACGACGCCAGGCGCCATGGCGATGGCGAGATCAACGACGGGGAGATCAACGACGAGGAGCTCGCGCGCGAGTATAACATACAAAGTTGGGTGGAGGACGATTAGGGCGAGGCGGCGCGCCGCTGGCGACTCTGAAAAAACTCAACACCAAAAAGCGCCAAGACTTTGTATATCACTAAATATTTGCAAGTATTTCAAGTGTTTCAAGTATAGCGCTTCAAAACACTGATCAAGCAAGCAAGTATGGAGGTTGATACTTAAGATACTTGCTTGTTGCGGAGTGTGCAGAACATAAACTCAAAGTAGCCTTTCCATCTCTCACGAATACAGCTCCGGACGAAGGCCTCATCTGCCTGTCTCCATACTCGATAGCCTCCGCGTCTATGATTCAAGATAACAGACGTCTCATCAGACCAAATAACGTTCTTCCAGTCTTCAATTGTCCAGTCTTTATGCTCAAGACACCACTTAAGCCGAGCTTCCTTCATCTTCTTCGTCAATCCAGGCTTCCTCGTTGGCTTCGTCTTTCTGTAGCCTGCTTTCTTCAAGATTCGCCACACTGATATCTGATATATTGACTCCCTCTTGGCTAAGCGCGCCAGCAATGTCAGCGCAAGACTTCTCTCGTCCATAGCGATCAGTGCGTACGCGATTGACTACCTGCTCTAGGAACTCTCCCTGCTTTGATGGCCGACCAGATCGAGAAGCATCTTCAAGATACTTGTCTTGGATCTTAATAGGCCGTTGGCAGGGATCGAAGCCACGTTTAATAGCTCGAGCAAATATATTGTTAATCGTCCGCTTTTTGATACCAGTTAAAAAGGTAATCTCCTCATTCGACTTGCCAGTAGCCTTTAAAGAAACAACAAGGGCACGAGTAGAGATATCGTAAGGAGCCATAATTAGGTGTAGAAGATAGAGCGACGACAGCATGAGATTGAATAGAAATGCCACGTCAGCTCGGAGATATGTCCGAATTCAGAATGTGTGACGGTCCATGGGGTAAGGACATCCTAGGTGCCACGTGTTGGCGAGATGGTTCTTCCTCTTACTGATAAGCACCTTCTACACCTATCCATGTCACAGATACGTCATGTAAACAGACTAGTATGATGGCCCCATAAAAGGCCATCACCACAGCAGAACAGAACAACACATCGGAAAATGCATAGCAACTTTCTCTCACTGCTTGTACTGTTACAGAATGTGGCTGATACCCCTGCTCGCCAAGGTGGGCAAGGACTTTTGAAAGGCTCCTCCGTACTACAGTAGCGGGTCAATCAACGCCCCAGGTCAGTCAACGCCCCACCCCAACACCATAACAACAAAACTTCAACGCGGCACAACTCCACCAATATGGATCTGATTCAAGAAGCGATTGAATATATTGAATCGCGCGAGCTAGGAGATGATTTCTCGTACAACAAAGTTGCTGCCCAGTTTGGTGTTGAGCGCAGTACGCTCGCTCGAAGGCACCAGGGTGTGCACGACCAGCGCGGGGTCTCCCATCGATCCCTACACCCAGAACACGAAGCCGAGCTTGTACGATACATCAAAACGCTTACTGAACGACGTTTGCCACCTACAAAAGTAATGATACAGCAGTTTGCTAGCTAGTTAGCTAGCAAACCAGTCTCCGAAAGCTGGGTTTCCCGGTTCCTCCGCCGTCATCCCAACCATCTCATCTCTCGCTCGGGCAAAGCTATGGCCAGGGAGCGGACCAAAGCTGATTCAGGAGCCAAGTACAGCTTGTATTTCAAGCTGTTACATCAAAAGATAGAGGAGTACAACGTCCAGCCAATACATATATTCAATATGGACGAAAAGGGGTTTCAACTTGGCCGGGTTGGTAGAACAAATCGTGTATTCAACAAGAAGCTCTACGAGTCAAAAGGGGTAAGGCAAGCACTTAAAGATGGCTCCACCGAGTGGATGACGGTGATGGCTTGTATTTGTTCGGATGGCGAAGCTTTGAGTCCTACTCTCATCTTCCAGGGAGCCAACGGAGCTGTTTAATCAAGCTGGGTTAATGCTGTACAAGCAGGGGAACACTCAGTATTTACTACGTCATCACCCTCTGGCTAGAGCAACAACGATATTGGGTTGGCTTGGCTCAAGGGGGTGTTTGAGAGAGAAACCAGACGGCATGCTTCAACCGGGTATCGATTACTCATCGTCGACGGCCATAGATCCCACGTAACTATGGAGTTTATTGAGTATTGTAACAACAACAAGATCCTCTTGTTTATATTACCCCCTCACGCTACTCATACGCTTCAACCCCTTAACGTTTGTATGTTTAAACCCCTCTCGAACGCTTACTCAACTCAGTTGGCTAGATACCTTCAGGACAGCCAGGGATTACTCAATTTAACCAAAGGAGACTTCTTCCCGCTCTTCTGGAGGGCTTGGTGTAACGTATTTAAACCTCTACTCATTAAGAGGTCGTTTGAAGCCACTAGTATATACCCAGCCAACCCGGACGTTGTACTCGAGAAGTTTGCCAAGTAAGCTTCGGATTCTAACAGCGGCAACTCATTACTATCGGGGAGCGATTAGCTTAAGCTCAAGTCAATCGTACGCCGTGAGGTAAAGGATCAGAGCAGTAAGGACGTCAAGAAGCTTTAACGAAGTTTGTGCCACATCTTAGCTCAAAACAGTATACTCCGTGAGGAGGTCAGAGGCCTCAGGCAGTCCCTAGCTATCAAGGAGAGGCGATCAAAGCAGTCCTTCACCCTCCAGCTTAACGAGGACGAGGTTTACCACGGGGGAGCCAAACTGTGGTCGCCCAGGAGTGTACAACGAGCTCGCGATCGTCGGGCATCACAACAACAACAACAGGAGCTTAAAAAGCTTCAAAAAGCCGAGCAAGCTGAGATCAAGAAGGCAGCTCGCGATTGTGAGCTTCAATTCAAAGCTGTAAAGCGTGTTAAGCGGGAGAAGGGTTAGGAGGAGACCAGAAAGCGGAAGGCTGCAGAGAAAGCCGAAAGAGACCTTAAGAAGAGACTCCGCGACGCTCAAAAAGCTATACAATTGCCCCAAAAGGGTAAGCGCAAAGCTTTAAAACCTCATAAGCCAGCTACAAAGCGTCAGAAACGTGTTGGGGGTGGTACAGCTTCTGTGGGAGCCCAGGTAGTTGCACAGCCAGTTCCACCAAAAACCTCTAAAGGGCGGGTAATCCGCCGCCCAAAAAAAGATTTAGACTAGCGCAAAGTCTTCGCAGGCTATTACATAGTATAAATCTACTTTTGCGCAATTTTATCACGTTTTGTTGAGGCGTTACAGCTGCAATACTCATGAAGCTGTTGTGTTGTGGGTGGGGCGTTGACTGACCCGGGGCGTTGATTGACCCGCTACTGTAACGTGTTCCACGGGCGAGCGCCGCACCCCACCAACTTTCGCATCTTCAAAGCGACGTAACGTGGTTCACAAGCGAATCGGTCACGCCCCACCAGCGAGTCGACGTCGAGACGTTATCACACACTTTTATCACAGTCAATAAACTATTGCGACATACCAATTTATCCGTAAGAGCCGTCACTATCGCTAGCATTATCTACTTTAATTGCGCAGGTATGGGCGTTGTGTCCAGTCTGCTTGCAACGCCCGCACCGCCTTTCTCCTCGCACCCTCTTCGACGCACTCTCACCATCACCACGACTGCTACTCGCCTGTTCAGCTAATACTTCTTGTACATCGCCAACAGTAAGAGTCTCCTCTATCCGTACGTATCGCCGCTTACGGCTCTTCCGCTTATTTGCTCCTTCTAGAGCCTCTTGAAGGCTGTTCATTTTCTCCATCATAAGCGTCATCTTATGTGCCATTTGCTGAGCCCCCTTACTCAACTGCGCAACCTGCTTGTCAAGTGAGCTTGCAGAAGACTCAGGGCGATTCCTTACTTTCTGTCGAATAAGAGTACTTTGAGCCTCAATTTCGCGCGCGTTGCGTGGTGTCTTCGCCTCCCAGGCATCTACCTGTCGCGGCGATTGGGTTGGCGTCTGCACTACCATATTAAGCTTTGATAGCACAGCCTGTGGGCCACGTGGGACTAGATCAGCGCCTCTAAAGCCTGCCTGTATATTCTCTTTTGTAAGAGTCCGCTCAAAAGTAGACTTAAAGGCAGGTAGGAAGGTCTCTTTGCTAATATACCGTCCGTGCGCATGAAATGAGCCGGGTCGTGTTTTGAGCCACCCCTCAACTCCAACCACCCATACAAAACGCATCATAACTCCACCACCATGCACCCGATTCAGAAAGCGATTGAAGATATCGATTCGTGTGAAGAAGGCGCATCGTTTAGTTATCGCGAAGTTGCAAAAAAGTATAATATAAGCCGGGCTACGCTCGCCCGAAGACACCAAGGTCGAACAAGGCCGCACAGCGTTGCGCATAACGCGCTACACCCACAACAGGAGAAGGAGCTTGTACAGTACATCAAGGGGCTCTCCGAGCGACGTTTGCCACCTACGAGGACAATGATACGCAATTTCGCGTCATCTTTGGCTGGAAAGGACGTCTCAGAAACCTGGGTTACCCGGTTTATGGCCAGGCACCCATCTGAACTCACATCGCGCTACACCTCTAGGATGGACCGCAAACGTCACAAAGCTGATTCAAGGGCTAAATACAGCTTGTAATTTAAGCTTCTGCATGCCAAAATGATGGAGTATGGGGTGCAACCTACTCAGATCTACAATATGGATGAAAAGGGGTTTCAAATTGGAAGCCTTGGGCGATCAAAACGCGTGTTCGACAAGGTGTTATATGATCAAAAGGGGGTTAAGGCATGCCTTCAAGATGGCAATACTCAATGGATTACTGTGTTAGCTTGCGTTTGCGCCGATGGTACAGCTTTGAGTCCATCCCTCATCTTCCAATCGGACGCCGGGACCCTACAATCATCATGGGTTGATGCTATTGAAGCTGGAAAGCACTCCGTCTTCGTATCCTCGTCTCCTTCGGGCTGGACGAACAACGATATAGGGCTTGCCTAGCTCAAGGAGGTGTTTATGAGGGAGACGAGGCGTTCAGGAGTCACTAGGTACCGATTACTCATCCTTGATGGCCATGGATCTCATGTTACTATGGACTTTATCAATTTCTGCAACGACAACAAGATACTCCTCGCCGTCTTTCCCCCTCACGCTACCCACACGCTTCAACCCCTGGATGTATCGTTGTTCAAGCCTCTCTCGGACGCCTACTCAAATGAGCTCACGAAGTACCTTCAGGACAGCCAGGGGCTACTCTCAATAGTAAAAGGAGACTTCTTTCACCTCTTTTGGAACGCCTGGTGTACTGCTTTTAGGCCTCAAACGATTACAAAGTCCTTTGAAGCTACAGGTATTCACCCCCCTAATGCCGAGGTTATACTCAAAAGATTCGCCAAGGCGGGCTACAATTCAGATAAGAGCTCATCTTCCTGCCTCTCTGGAGACGATTAGCTCAAATTAGAGTCTATTATACGACGTACAGTGAAAGATCAAAGCAATAAGGACGTCAAAAAGCTTCGCCGAAGTCTCCATCACATCTCTGCCCAAGCAAGCCTCCTTAGGGGGGAAGTAAAGGGGCTGAGGGCTGCTATAGGCATCAAAAAGAGACGGGAAAAGAAGTCCTACACCCTACAACTTAACAAGCCTCATGAGTATCATGGTGGAGCCGTCTTCTGGTCTCCCAAGAAGGTCCGTCAGGCTCGGGACGATGAAGCGGCTCGACAACAACAACAACAACTTGAAAAAGCACAAAAAGCAGAGGCAAGATACCTGAAGGAACAATCTCGACTCTACAAGCTTCAGGAGGCCGAGCAAAAGCGTGTTGAGAAAGAGAGACTCAAGGAGGTGCGGGAGAAGGAGCAGGCTGCCGAGAAGGCTGAAAAAGAGCGTCGAAAAGCAGCTCGCGACTCTCAAAAAGCTATACAACAACCCCAAAACGGCAAGCGTAAGGCCTCACAAAGCTCTACTCAAAAGCAGAAGCGTCAAAAAGGTGTTGGTGATGGTGCACCTCGTGTACAAGCCGAGGTGGCTACATCTATTATCCCGACTCAAACCACCCGCCAGGGCCGCACCACCAAGGTACCGAGTAAATATAAGTAGCGCAAGTTCATCGCAATGATATAATTACTACAACACCACAAAATCTCGTGATAATAGCTATTGTGGGTGGCTCTACAGCCTTATCTTTGTGATATTCTGATGTTGTTGGGTGGCTCAAAACACGACCCGGCTCATTTCATGCGCACGGACGGTAACGTGTCCGTGCGCGTGATGCGCGGATTCGCGTGATGCGCGGGGAACACCATATCCACTACTTCAAAAATGAAGCTATTAAGCCACGTATATAAGCTGTTATTATACGAATTTATAGAGGGGGAGTAATTAGATGCTTGCGATCAACTTGTACTATCTATATTTTGATGGGAGGTTGACGTTGCGGCCACGTGATGTGAGCTTTGATGGAGGAGCTGGAGGCTCTTCTTGAACTTGAGCACCAGCGCGAGCAGCCTCAACGCGTTTTTGACGCTTGTTGTTCGATGAGGTAGCTGCTGAAGCTCTCCTCTTTCCCTTTTGGGGTAGTTGTATAGCTTTAGCAGCGTCTCTCTCCTCCTTCTGGCGCGCGCGTTCAGCTGCTTTCTCAGCTCGCTCAAGCTCCCTCATCTCCTTGAGTCTCTGCCTCTCCACACGCCTCTCCTCGAGCTCATCTTGACGCTGCAGTCGAGCCTCCTCGCGCTGCTTCTTGGACCGTGCTTTTTGGAGTTTCTCCTCCGTCTCATCTCGCTCCCGTACTGCTTCTCTAGCTCGAGCCTCACGCAGCTTGCGAGGAGACCAGAAGACAGAGCCACCGTGATACTCCTGGCGCTGTTGAAGGTCAAGAGCTTTGCCCTTCTTCCTGTGCTTCTTTTTATGTTGAAGAGCCTCCTTTAAGCCCTCGTTCTCATGCTTTAAAAGCTCATACTGCACAGAGAGATGGTGAACGCTTGAGCGCAGCTTTCTTGCCTCATACTGATGGCTATCATTAACAGCAGCTCGTACTAGCCGATCGAGCTTTCTCCAGTCATGATCAGAGAGCCCTGACGATGAGCTTCTCTCAGCTTCTGGCGTGCTAGCAAATCTACGAAGGATAACGTTGGCATCCATCGGCCAGATCCCAGTGGCTTCGAAGGCCTTCAATATGAGGCTCTCTGTGAAGGAGGATATCCAGGCGCTCCAGAAGAGCGGGAAGAAGTCCCCTTTCTTGATTGGAATAAGGCCTTGAGCCTTATGGAGATGGTTAGTGAGCTCGTTAGAGTAGGCTTGAGAGAGTGGCTTGAACAGCACTACATCTAGCGGCTGGAGCGTATGGGTCGAATGGGGAGGAAGGATCATGAGGAGGATCCTATGGCGATCGCAGTACTTAATAAACTCCATCGTGAGGTGAGATCCATGGCCATCAAGGATGAGCAATCTCCATCTACCTGATCGTTGCTTTGTAGAGCGATCAAACACCTGCTCCAGCCAAGCTAGGCCTACGTTATCATTTGACCAGCCTGTTGGAGATGATGAGACAAAGACCTCATGTTCTCCTGCCTTGATATCTTCTACCCAACTCGATCGTATAGCTCCATTTTTAGCTGCGTAGATAAGGGCTGGAGGCAGCGAGCTCCCATCAGCGCAGCAGCAGGCCAGGACTGTCAGAAACTCGCGTGATCCATCCTGGAGAGATGCTCGAACCTCCTTCTTCTCCCATTGACGCCTGCTGAATATCCTCTTACTTCTGCCTATCAAGCCAATTAAGAAGCCCTTCTCATCCATATTGTATATATCTCGAGCCTCTAGGTGATATTCGGTGATCTTTCGATGCAGCAGCTCGAAGTAGAGTCTATACTTTGACTCAGAATCAGCCAGGTGGCGCGTACGATCCATGGCGCTGGTCCACTTTGAGATGAGATGGATCTCGTGTCGGTTGATGAAGCGAGTAACCCAGCTCTCGCTGAGCTGCTGATGGGCTACTTCTGATGAGAAATTCCTGATCATCTCTCGTGTAGGAGGAATGCCTCGCTTTGTGAGCTTTTCGATATATCTCACAAGCTCTAGCTCTTGTTGTGGGTTGAGTTTCTGCTGGTTGAAGTTCTTGTCTCTTTCTGAGCTTGTCTGGCCCTGGTGCCTTCGGGTCAACGTAGATCTCACAACACCATGCTTAGCAGCAATTTTAGTATACGAGAACTGTTCTCCTGGCTCTAGATTTTCAATATCTTCAATCGCAGCTTGAATTGGGTCCATATTGGTGGAGTTAACGTGTGTTGAAGGTGAAGGGGTTTGACGTGTTTTGGTGTTCCCCGCGCATCACGCGAATCCGCGCATCACGCGCACGGACACGTTAACGTGTCTGTGCGCGTGATGCCCATAATCGCGTGCCGCACACCCCGCAACATCAACACCAATCCACCCTTACCACTTCAACCACCCATAACTCCACAACTATGAGTTGTATCAACGCTGCGATTGAAGCTATTGAATCGCGTGATCCCGGAGATAAATTTACATACTCTGAGGTTGCGCGCCGCTTTGGTGTTGATCGCTCTACGTTGTCGCGACGCCATCAACAGATCCGGGGCTCAAATGAAGCCAAATCACGTAATCAGCAACTCCTTTACCTACACTAGGAGCTACAGCTTCTAGAGCACATTAATGAGCTTACTAAGGCTGGCTTACCACCGACGAGGACTATAATCTAGAACTTTGCTAGTGCTATAGCCGGAAGGGCTGCCTCCTAAAGCTAGGTGACGCGCTTCTTTCACCGTCATCCCGACGCGATTATATCACGTTGGTCAACTGGTTTGGACCGCAATCGCCACCAGGCTGATTCTGTATACAAGTACGAGTCGTACTTTGATCTACTATCTACTAAAATGGCTCAGCACTATATTCGGGCGCAGGATGTATATAATATTCTCACGTATGTGATATGGAAGAAGAGATGAAGGACTGAGTTGATTGTATAGCTATGAACGAGGGAAGCTATATATATGTGAGGA